TTACGGCCGAAAAACAGTTGGTTGGCAAATACTTTTGAGCGCCACATTACTCATAGTCGATTTCAGAAATGGCACGATTTCCAAATGCGTTGGAATCCAGTGAAATATGGCGAAATTCGGCAAATTCGAGTGCAACCGGACAAAGTGTGGTTGCCAGACATCGTCCTGTTTAATAAGTACGTGTCGGTCTAAAATCATTGTGGCCGTGCTCCAGTCCTACTGGCTGAACAAGCCGAAATATTCGCGCGTGTGTCATAAAGTCTAATGGTGGTTCATATTTCTTCAACACATTGACGGCAGCTCTCTCTCTCAATAATTTCGTTACTGGTAATAATAACAGTTTCTGGATCCAATGATGCAGACCCACAACTTTTCCACATAAAAAATATTGAGTAAATCGAGCGAAACCATGCCCAATCGCCCTAATATGACGCGCATGCGCGTCACACTGTCGTCAATCTGCTGAAATCCGCCCTCGTAAGAATCACGCCCGTCGATCTGCTATGCGACCAACTATGCTGAGGTCCACTGCGATCAATTGGAGCTTTGTCCTCGCGCACATGGTCGTAGTTGCCCGGTCATTCTGCTTCAAGGTAACGCAAAACCTCACGCTGCTATTTGAACCCAGGAAAAAATTTATAGAATGAGATGGTAGTGGCTCGAACATCCACCATGCTTGCTGGATATGTTGCCGTCAGACTATATCTTCTTCATTTGCGCAAACAAAGATCTGTCAACGTCGGCGAAGTTTGCACAAGTTTGGCCAATTTTCTTGAATCAAAGGATGATCCATTTTGGAACCTAGGCATCGATTTGCTGCCGGGGAGATGACAAAAAGTTATTGATTTTGATTAATGGGTTTGGACATTTTTCTTTTTGTTAACAAGCATTCATATTCTCATTGATCCCTGACTCGACACTGTCTGGGAACTTTTACAGCAGCTTTGTAATTGCTGGTTAAAGCAACAGTCCCAGCAGGGTTTTACCTTCGACACTAATGGTGTGGAACGATGCGCTAGCCCTAGTCAAGAACATAAGAAGTGTGACTGAACAAAAACTCACCTTGGAAAGCCGCTAGAAAGGGAGCTGAACAGCTTCGAAGTGGGCGTGGTTGCAATCGGCTGCAATCCCCTCGGCCGATTCAACCACGCCCACTTCGAAGCTGTTCAGCTCCCTTTCTAGCGGCTTTCCAAGGTGAGTTTTTTGTTCAGTCACACTTTTTATGTTGCTGACTAGGGTTTCACAATGATTAGTACAGTAAACAACAAACAGAACAAGTAAAAGGAAACCATGTGTGTCTGCTGTAGCTTTCAGCTTCGTTGTTCACTGCTGATATCGGCTAACCGGCTCATGACTTTAGACATGTGGGTGCTGATAACCTGGTACTATAACATCAGGAGCTGAAATGCTGCTGGGATGGGTGCTCTAGCAGTGTAAGTGGTTCCACAATTGCTCGACAGACAAGAGATGCGGGTTCGAAATAGGCCAGGGCGGGACCTTTGTCCATAATTCAGCATTCCAATGAAACTACCATTGAATAGTACACACGTGACATCAATTTCTTGTATTCGAGTCAATCCGCTGTTGCCTGACGAATGAAATGAACACCTTAAGCAGACCAGACGCTTCTCTGCGATCGAAACCTTCTGCCACATCTGAAACTATTTCATGAAACGTCCTTGTAACACCCCTCCTCCTCCCACCCTTTACCCTCTTTTTCGAGTTCGAATTGATTTACTCCCAGTGGTCTTTTTTCAGCGCCGACGGTAACTACGAGGTGTCTTTCATGTGTAATGTCGTTATAAATCATCTTGGCGACATGCTGTGGGTGCCGCCGGCAATCTACAAGAGTTCTTGCATAATAGGTAGGTGAGCTTCTCTGGAAAATTGCACATTCAGCAGAAATTATAATAAAATAGATGTGGAATTCTTCCCGTTCGACGAGCAGGTATGTACGTTGGTGTTCGGATCGTGGACGGTGGGTATTTTCTGTAGCTTTCAACAAGATCTTTTGTTGTCAGTCCTGAAGGATACTGCTTCAGTATAACGAGAATGAGATCAAACTTGAGTTTGAACAAGCTGAATGGGTGGACTTGTCCGAGTATGCACCATCCTCCATTTGGGATGTAATGGATGCTCCCGCATCGTTGGTGAACAAGCGGAGCAGGATCGAATTCCAAGTGAGAATCAGGTATGTATATAATGTACAGGGTGAGAACAAATTAGTGAGACAGCGCACCCTCGCGAAACTGTGAAAACCTCTCAGAGCGAAACCGTTTTTCAATGTTCTTGTTTGCTTATACTGGTAGTTGTGCGCTGTGCTGCAGCATCACTTGTAGCACCTGACCACCGGCAGAAGCCTGACCATCGGGCCAGGCCGGACGTCGTCCAGGTGTTCGTTTGACGTCCCGAGGGATCCAGTCGGTAACCGCTCTGGTCCAACGGTCATCGCAAAATCGCATGACGTGTCCGGCCCACCTTATCTTCGATTCCTTGGCGAAAACGGCAGCGTCCCTGATCTTCGACAGTTGATGTAGTTAGAAATTCTGGATTGCTTTCTAAACTCCCAACCTATATTTACCTGTCGTAGGCACTAGCTCCAGAATACCTGTTGTGTTAGGGGGAAGTGTATTCGATATCCACGGAAATGTGAATCTTAGATAGTTTCGTGATGTTATACATAGTGCTGCAGCTAGTGCTCGCAATGTTTTCAGAAGAAAAACACTTTTCTACACGGTTGTGCTCATCATCCCTACTGTACTGATGGCCTTTCTCAGTATGGCAGTATTCTTTCTGCCAACGGATTCTGGTAAGTCTGATAGCCACACGCTTGCTGGAGCTTGGCTTACTTATTCGCAGCAATTGGAATCAAGACCAAATAGTATATTAATGTAAATATGGCGCGGTTCACATGCTGAGATTATTTTCCGTAATTTTTGGACCCTGGACCAAGAAGGTGGTCTCGCGAATAACGCTGTATTTCTTGTGAAGCGGAAAAAGGGATATGCTCGAGTTGCTTCGCTCAAACTCAGGATTTCGCTACGCATAAGATTCTTCATTCAATCCACTGGCTCATTCAATTCATGCTTGTTATACAGGGTGCGCCAAAATTACGGAGACAACGCATGAGCAAACAATTTGAACTGATATTCACAGATGCTGTTTTCTTCTGTCCTAGTTTTGGTACTGTGGTGTAGAATTGTTTATGCTTACCTTGTTCAACCACCAAAATCTATGGTAGCTGCAGCGGTTGACTGATACTGACACCGTCCCTAAATCATTGGACTTCGACGTTGAGGGTTTTTGGCACGCGACAATTATCATCGTTTTGGTGTATACCCGAGCACTATCAATAAACAGGGGACAAGGAGCTGAATGCAGTCATTCTGGATGAGAAGGGCGTGTTTCTGTGGCGACCACGAACAATCTAAGGATTGTGTGCGATAGAATTTGCAGGTAGTTGACGCGCTGGTTTCACTGGATGTCACGAGAGATAGGAATCAGGGGGGCTCTTTTGGACTTATCAGAGCCCATTGCTATCCTGAGTTTATTTTCACTTTGAAAATCGTTGCTGGGCCTTCCATCAAGTAGGAGCTCCCGTTTACGAGGCAAGGGTGGTTCAGTACTAGTGCAGCATTGATGCAGAACCGATTTTTTCGACTTTGTCGGCTTAAACGGTGGTAGAACAGCATTTCAGATCTGAGCTCGATAGGGTACGCTGTCGGATCCGTTCTAGAAGCTGAGGCTTGCATAAAACACATTATGTCTAGGGATTCGTTGAAGAAACCGCTCTAAAATGAGCTTGACGAGTCCTACTCGCCACATTGCGTGCCACAGTCGATGGTTCCTCGATGTTTCTGAGGACCCGTATAAACACAAACCAAGGAATTTCAAAAATTGCATGGATGTCGACGATTCAGAATGGGACTGTGCACGTCACTGCATTTTTGTTTTCAAAGAATTGCACCTTGCTCATCCTAGGCAACTCGAAGTCGCTGTCTCCGTAATTTTGGCGCACCCTGTACATCATTCTCTCGAGTGCAGGAAGCTGGCTGTAGGCCACGGAAGCATATAGGTAAGATCGTAAGAAGAAACTGGAGCAATGTAGATAAGGGATTTTTGAAGGTTTCGTGAGCTCATAAAAATTACTGGTGGGTGGAGGAATTCGGCTCGTTCCACAACCACGGTGGCTGGTTGCGCTTCTGGACGTTAACCATCTCTGTCTTCAGTCTCGGCACGTAGCGTGAAAGTAGCCATTGTGGGATAAAGATCGCTCCACTGGTCCGATAACGTTTTTCGCTGTTACGCCTTCAAAGTTAAAAAGGTGGGCCTCAATATGGGGATTAGGGCGTTTAAGTTGGTACGGGGAGACGTGAAATGGAAAGACTAGGACGAAAAAAGAAGAAACCGGTCCCAAGGCCGAAACGAAAACCGTTCCACTAGCAGTAAAGGGGCTACGTGACTTGCTACGCGACGGTCAGACGAGCATTTCGGGGATATTGCTAGCTGTGTCATCGGTTTATACGGCAATCACTAGTCTGATTTCCAGTCATTCCAGCCATGTTGTGTAGCTACGCTTGATAAATAGTAGGCGAGGGCTGTGTCGCCTCTCCATTTCGTTCAGTGAGCGTGGCGTCACCTTCGGGGCGCAGGATCAGATCATATTAGAGATGGAAGGGCTTTCTATGAGCACCTTATCCTGACTTGTGGCTTTGAGGAACTCCCTTTGCCCTTTGCCTAGGTTCAGATCTCTACAAAGACCTCTACAAATAATCGTGAAAAAAATCGTGACTGTCCAAACGTCCATATTGGAGCTGTTTATTTGTGTGCCATAATCGCTTCAGTCTACAATCAAACATTTAGCCCATTTGTTGTATCAGGAAACTCAACCTGGAAGATATTTTACAGGCGAAAAGATGACGCTCACAATTTCCGTGTTGCTCTCCATCGTTGTTTTCCTGCTGCTGGTCTCGAAAATCCTTCCACCGACATCCAGCACTATACCGCTTATGGCAAAGTCAGACACCTCGGAAGAATTCTTTGACTATTCTTGGCGCTAAATTCTGGCCGATCTCAAGCTTGGCATTCAGGTATCTGCTGCTCACGTTCGTGCTCAACGTCATTACCATCTTAGTTACCGTAATTATCATTAATGTCTATTTTCGTGGGCCAACGACACATCGAATGCCCAAGTGGGTGCGTAAGCTGTTCCTTGAGGTTGGTTCCGTTTCCTTATTGCTTTACTGGTGGCAAACGCTTGATGGTGAACTGTTTTGTTTGTTTCAGTGGATGCCCCATGCCATGTGCATGCAGCGACCAAAATCTCAAGTGAGGAAACCAATTGCTGACCCTCCACACCCTGAAATCACGCAATTACCCGGTCTCGGCCATTTCACTATCAATCCGGCCGCACATCATCCTTTTTGTCCCAGTGCTGACGAAAAGTAAGTACCTTTCCTTCATGTCTAAATAGACCTCTTGTAAAGTTTTACTATGAATACACTGGAGTACATGAACATTGTGGAATACACCACATATTTCATTTAAATTTGAAATGTACGCATTCGGCATGCACTCGCATAATTTACCCCTACTTACCCTATAACTTGCTAAGGATTGGCAACATGTAGGGCACGGACTGGAGAAGCAGAGTGACTCAGTAGACTGCAAACGAGCTTATCCCTATCTTCCACAGTTTTTAATCTCTTTACAGGGTGGGGCAAAATTACTGGTGCACTAAATTTTCAATGGCATTTTGACAATAATTCTCACAAATCAATTCTAATTATCAATATTATTTACTACAAACATGACAATACAAAAAATGTTAATGCTTCTCAAAATGATCTCCTTTAGCCTTCACACAGTCCTTCAGACGTTCGACAAATGCTTCGCATGTGGCACGCAGGTACTGGTCATCGATTTCGTCCCAAGATTTTGAAAGCGCCGCCTTAAGAGAGTCCAAGTTTGGATGTCTGGTAGAACACGCTTTGCTCTCCAAGATGGACCACACAGAGTAATCCATCGGGTTTAGATCAGGAGAACTGGAGGGCCATTCGTCGTGTCTGATGAAGTCGGGCAGGTGCTCGGCGCACCACTCCTGGACCATCTTTGCTTTGTGTGCTGGAGCAGAATCCTGCTGGAAGCACCAGTAGGCTTCTCCGAAATGGGAGTTGGCCCACGGCTTGAGAACTTCCTCCAGGATATTTTTGTAAACCTCTGCGTTGATTTTTACACCAGCTTCAACGAAAACAAGTGGGGTCTTCCCCGTAGAGGTGACTCCTCCCCAAACAAGAATGGACTGGGGGTGTTTCGCTCTTTCCTGGAGTCTTGCCTTGGTGGTAGCATCAGCAAGTGATCCTGCAATCCTCTCATTTTGGGAGTTGAAGGCTGGATTCAGAGTAAAAATCTTTTCATCACTGAAAACGATGTCTCGGGCGCGTGCCACCGTGAATCGCTGCAGCAACTTCTTGCATCTCTCCAATCTCCTTTTCTTCATAATGTCCGTCAGGAGTTGGCATTTCTGCAAGCGATAGGGGAACTTCCTTAGCTTACTTCTGACAATCCTCCTCATTGACCTCGCGCTTACTCCAACGTCTTTCGCCATCTGGCGCATCGATCTCCTGGCGTTCCTTCGAATTCTTTCTCTGACGAGCCTCACATTTCTCCGACTCGTAGCTGTTGTGGGACGTCCTCTTCCTTCCCTGTCCTCTTCGGTCTTCAGTTCTTTATAGCGTCGTACTGTATTCTGAACCGTCCTTCGAGGTACGGAAAGGATCTTCACAATTTCTCTTGTTTGCTTGCCGTCGTTGTGAAGTTTGATGATCGCGCTCCGTAGGTCAGAACGACGGACCATTTTGTATTCGAGTACGTAGGAATTACGCAACCTCCAGGCAACATATCACAAGCGAGTGAAACAGGAAAATCTCCAAGAAGTGTTAAAAAATTCAAAACGTATAGGTGCACCAGTAATTTTGCCCCACCCTGTATATCATTTGATTTTCTCGATGCTGAAGTGGTGAGCAATTCAAATGATTTGGCTAACGTAGACGAAATCCCACCAAAAAACTGGCTCCTTGGGTCATTTTACGGTCCTGTTCCTACACATCACGGAATCGCCTGTCTGAAAGCAAAATATGTGTCTGCCAATTTGCTGAATCAGGGAGAACAAATGAATAGATCGACGGAAGGGTTGACTGGTGATGATACAAGATTTTGCAGAACAGCATCGCCCAAAACGCTGAACTGTACCACCGAGCTGACTACAAGGGACCCTCTTCTTCTGTCATACTATCCTCTCTCCGCAGATGCCCTTCAAGCTATAGACGCTATTGACTACATTACCGACCACTTGAAGCACGAAGAAGAGCATAAAATGGTGAGTCAATCTTTTTGCTGCTCGAATAAACAATCCAGTAACCTGAATCGTATGTCGTGAGCTCACTCTCTACCTGCTCAGCCCTAGCTTGTCGTGAAGAAAGACAACTTGCACTACATGTCTCCCCGTTGCTCTCCAAATTCCTTGACGGGCATTGTATTTACTTATTTCATCCCACTTGCCACTACACCATTTCCGCCCGTTCTCATCATGACATTGGAAAGATTTTCATTTGAAAAAACGACACTACTCTGAGTCAACCTGGTAGATGAAGGCGCTCGGCTGCGCTTTATCCTCTTTCGTTCGCATCGTGTAGCTCCTCCATAATCATTCAGCAATGAAAGCCCCTCAATAAAAAATCCGTGGAGATGAACACTGAAAGGCTCACTGAACTAAATGAGTTATGTATTACTTATGATAACTAGAGGAACTAGAGAAAGTCTGAGAGTCTCACTCAGTTACAATCTATATACAGTAGCGGTCAAAAGTGTTCGCCGAAACGATTTTCAGTGCATTATTTTTTCTCGCTTGAGCAACGCCCTCCAAAGATTGATATACTATGTTTTCTAGTGTTTTTATATCCTCAAGTTTGAAGAATCAGGATATTCAAAGAAAAATTTTCGAGGCCATTGATTTTTTCCCGTAAAAAAAGAGAAGCACGAAAAACCGTTCCTGCGAACACTTTTGACCGCTTCTGTATATAAATAGTATCGCCTTTGCACACTTACCTTATTTAATTTAACCTAATAGGCGTGGCACCATAGGTTCACTCACTGGGTCGAGCAATTAAGCCAGATCAAGATAATGTGAATATTGAGCAAATGCAGCAAATTTCAGTACCGCGATGACTGGAAGTACGTAGCGATGATTATCGATCGATTACTACTGTACGTCTTCTTCGGAATCACAGTTGGCGGCACTTGCGGAATACTTTTCAGTGCACCTTATGTGTTCCAAGGTAATAGTGGATTATTTTGAGTTGTGTACCGATTTTACGACACCCTGCCATTCGCTTATGACACAAACGTAGGCATCGGTGCTCCGTCTGACTGGCGGACCAGCAGTGTTTATGTCACTGACTTAACTCTTGGCACTGTGCACGAGCGCAAGCCATGAAAGGTACTGAATCACCCTACCGCATTCTGAATTGGATAGATGAATTCTATCCATGAAATATTAAGTTGCACGATAAGTAGTGTCGCTTAATTGGATGGGAAAATTTCTTATGAGATCCCATGTTTTCATGAAACGTAAATAATTGCTTGAAACAAAACTGACTGCACTACAAAAGATTTTGCTTACTTTTTGCGTTCCGAGCTGACTGAATCACTGTCTTACAAAATGGGATCTTGTATCTAGTTCGTCAGAATGATATTGACCGTGAAATGGCAACTACTAGCGATCACACCAAATACAATAAACTATTTATTAACGAAAAATATAGAACAATTCTACACGAGAATTGATAGCCACGACGGAAAAAAGGTTACACTGCGAAAAACAACGAATAAGCGAGGGGATAAACAAAAGTCCACTGGAATAATCAGGGCGGAGAAGGGATCGGCGGGGGCTGCTCCAAAACTCAGAACCACAAACTATGTCATTGTCCCTTTTTATATGTTCTGTTTCCCGCCTAGATCTCTCCTCTTCCTGGGGCAGATCTTTGACCTGCTCAACACGCCGCCCCCCTCTGGTGCCGATTCCCACATCGGCTGATACTCTATTTTCTTTATTTCTGGAAGCATCACCGTTCCACTTAACTTTTTTCTTATACATTCATATAACGACTTCGCACAACCTACAGCATAATTCGAGCCATAATAATACAATGCCGTTTCGGGGGACCCTATTCCACAAAAAACTCGTCCATTTTCCATTTTTGTACCTGCTACGCTATAGAACTGGCTCGCTGCTGCTTGCCTCTTTATGGTCTCGTCCAACATAGACCAGATTTCAATCATTGACTTCCAGCTTTCCACATTTTTCTCAATAACCGGAGGCCACGCAGTTACAACTTGTCCTCCCTCAGCGAAGTGTTGCCCACACGCTAACGATTGAACAGATTTCGTCCTCTTTGAAACTTTTATCTTCAGGCCACACGATTGTCCAAATGGCATGCGTTGCCCACTCAGTCAGAATCTCTCGAAGCTGTTTGAACGAAGTTACAACTCTCGTTGTTATTCCTCTTTTTGGCCCGTCTTTCTCGAGTAACGTGGCACATGCTGGAGCCGCGAATGCAGTTGGTCCGTGCTTTATCTGCCTTTTCTTCTTTTCCTCATCTTCGAGCTCCTTTTTCGGCTTTTTCAAGGCGGAGTCATAGGTCTTTTCGAAACCAAAAAGACTCGATCTTCTCGTGTTTCTTTATGCCGTCAGTCATGCAGATGAATTCGGTCCAATCGAGGCACCTCGAATACGCCATACGTAACACAATCTGGAGAGCTTCCTCATCTAGGCATACTGCGCCATCCTTCCAAAATTTTATTTTCGACGCCATATCAAGGTCCAACCGGATGAATATGCTAGCCGCTCTCCACGCATTCCAAAGAGAACTCATTGGCTTTCGCGAAAATGCTCCTGGAAACTGAGTTCCTGTGAGCTCGCCGAGTTTCGCATCATTCAAGCAGCCATCTCCACATGTGTACTCCAAATGGTCTTTGTCGTTTTTCATGCGAATTTCCGTTATTTACTTTAACTTTTGCTTTTCTTCCCCGTCTACCTCTGCTGGTTACCGTATCTATACGATCGTCGGGAATATAGGACGGCACCACTCGTAACATGTCAAATTGCACTTTAACTGGTTCTACATTTTCTCCTATTCTACTAATGACCGCCGAGTTCTCACTCGCGCAGCTTTGGATAAGCACTCATCGCCTTCTCTTTAGGGGAGAACATATACACTCTATCTCCTACTTTAGGATGCCTACTACTGTCTACCTTGTTCCGCCTATCATAATCTATTTTCATTTTTCCTCTTACACGTTCATTGTACTCTCTAACTCTGTCGTGGACCTCAGCCATTGCCTGCAATAACTGTGCTTTATAGTCCTCCTTACTTTCGTCCATTGTATACCATGACACTCCACCGTTGGGGATTACTTCTGATGGGTAGCCTGGATCGACGCCGTGTAAGATAAAGTACGGACTTTCACCGGTCGCCTGATGTGGTGTTATATTGTATGCGAACATACAAAACGGTAATCTCACGTACCATTCCATGGGAACCACTGTACTACGACGTAGCATCGCCACGATCGTCCCATTTAGCCGTTCTGTAATGCCATTCTCTCTTGGGTTATAGCCCTTTGTTGTTATCTGTTCAAATTTCGTAATCCTTGTCAACTCCTCCATCACCCGGTTTTCAAACTCCGCCCCCTTGTCCGACATGATCACCTTTGGCCAGCGGCACCCTTCCGCGATCCATCATACAAAAAGGGTCTTCGCTATCGTTTCTGCTGATTTATTGGATACAGGATAAGCCGCAGCGAATTTGGAGAAGTGGTCAATGACCGTTACCGCATAGCGGTTGCCACTTGTCGTATTGCCCAGCTCCAGCACGTCTACGCCCACTATCTCATATGGCTTCGTGGTGGCAATCGGCGCTAACGGAGATATTGTCCTTGGTCTTACATTGTGCGCAAAGCAACGCTGGCACTCCCTTGTCCACTTATTGATATCCTGAACCATGGTGGGCCAAAATACTTCCTTCCTGAGTCTATTCAACAACTTGTGGGCGCTAAAGTGCCCAGCGAACGTTCCCGCATGTGCCTCGTGAAAAATCTCATAGCGATCAATATCCGTTCAAGGCTTCGCCCCTTCCTTATCGGCGATCCTATCCTTGATCTGCGACCTCTCTCACTCTTTGGCCTCTCTCCTTGGGTGTGATGCTACCTCACTCAGCCGGTTCGGCTCCCATGTACCAACTATCTAGTTCGTCAGTATGATGTTGACCGTGAAACGGCAACTACTAGCGATCACACCAAATACAATAAACTATTTATTAACAAAAAATATAGAACAATTCTACACGAGAATTGATAGCCACGACGGAAAAAAAGGTTACACTGCGAAAAACAACGAATAAGCGAGGGGATAAACAAAAGTCCACTGGAATAATCAGGGCGGAGAAGGGATCGGCGGGGGACTGCTCCAAAACTCAGAACCACAAACTATGTCATTGTCCCTTTTTATATGTTCTGTTTCCCGCCTAGATCGCTCCTCTTCCTGGGGCAATCTTTGACCTGCTCAACAATCTCCAGTAGACGAAAATTATTACAGCTGTGCGGGCAACTAACCATGGTACAATGACAACTCCTAAAAATTTTCTTAAAATTAATTCTCGCCTCTTTCAGGTGTCAATCAACGTGCAGTTCTGGATCGGCTTATTGACCTGTATAAGAGTGGCGGAAATCGTGATTGATTAGAACGTGACGTTAGATGCTCGCTCAACTGTGCCAATGTCATAGCTGTACCTGATTTTTGTCCCGTGAACGCCATGCATGGTACAGACGCTTCTGGACAGTCTGCTTTATAGCCAGACGCATTAAATGACCACTATCAAAGGCTTATCATGTATGTAAGCGGAATGACGTTAGGCACATTAATAAAGTCCAATTTGATCCTTTGCAGCTATGCTTCCTTATAGAGTCCGCGATGTATCGTTGAAGCAGCTTATCTACGCAATATCTATACAATAGCACGTCATTCCGTGACACACTAGCCTACATCAATCACCGTATCGAGTATATAACGATTTCAATCAGATTTCTGACCTTTCCCCACAACATAGCTCCGACGTCATATTACACGGAACTTCACTTTTCTCGGAATCTTGAGGCACCTACCGAATAAGAACATTGGTAAATGAACGAGCTGTGTGACTTCGAGCCAAATGCGGTTTCAGCCAATATCTCCTACAGAATACGCAGAAGGTGTCGGGATGCATCACAACACAAGCTGCAGACGCCCTCGGCTACAGAAATGGAGAATGTTTTTCATGAAATAAATTAGTTTTTGGGGGTGCGCATTTTACTTTTCCAGATTCACTAATACAATTATTAATCACCTCCTACTATTTTATAAAGCGCTAACTTTGTGTGTCGGTTTGTATGTCTGTATGTGTGTGTATGTATGTATGTGTGTCCGTCCGCAAAATGAAGTGAGTGAGAAGGAAGCTCATGGGATAAACAAACCGCTAACAGAATCATGTAGCTCACAGGACTTTAGCTATCAATGTTTTGCAATGGCATGATTGTGATAACACCCCAACGGCTATATAAACACCGCACTTAGCACACTTTCGGTCATTCCACAAGGTGATGCTGTGGTAGCCGGCGAGCAGAGGGGAACGAGGGGAGAGTAAGGAGAGGAGGGAGAAGGGAAAGCTTACGCAAGGTAGGGAGGTTCCGGCGCTTGCCGGGGGACCAATCTGGTTTACCAAAAATCAGCAACTGATAGAATACAACTGCAACAGGCTAATCATTTCATTGGCAGAAAACATTTACATTTTGTGGAGGCCGTCGTCACTTGTGGTGTATGGTCTGCACCCGACACCCTTCTCGTTTTCTGAAAGGGAGGATAATTGGCTGCAACAGCCCGCATTTGCTCGAACGATGTGTCTCTCAGGAGGTGGCCGAAGTCTGTAAAAGGCGCTTGGGACTCTCGGATCCGGTCAGCTGTTCAGTTCACAACCATTTGTTGTTTGCAGTCAGGAGCAGGGTGAATAACGGTCGAGGAATTCCTCGACCATCGCTCTCTGCTGTGCGAGAGTAGAGCCGATAGTGAATGTACGCGCGGAGAGCACAGACGGCTCGCGGGTGGCGAGAGTGAATATCCGCGCGCGAGAACGTAAAGGATCAGGCGAAAATCCTCGACGTGCCGTTGAGGAATCCTCAAGCAATATTCACCCTGGTCAGGAAATGACCTTTATTACTTTCGGTAAGACTCGCAGTATTTACTGGACTTATTTTTAGCTACGACGCGATTTGGATTTGTTGAGTCAGTATCTAACGCTCATGTCTTGTGGTTACCTGATGCGGGTGGCTTACATATATTATTTACGTTATTATTCAATATGCTGTCTTTTAATAAAGCCTTATCTCTTGTTCAATGTTTTTCAATGTCAGAGAACAGATGAAACCTGAGTCGTAAAACTTAGATGCTGTAAAATCTCTAACAGTATCACTCGTAGTAACACCACTTAGCCCTATGCCCACCGTAAAAGGTGGTCATCGTGGTCACATTAATCAAACAATCACTATTTAAAAATGTTAGAAACCAAGTGCACGTCAGCTTATTTCCGAAATCTCTTTCGACTTTCCAAAAGCAACCTAAAATCAAGACTGACGTATCCTAGAAGGCTATAGGCCTTGATGCCTATAGCCTTCTAGGATACGTCATGGAGCCAAATGCGCTTCGTTGAATTCTGGCGCCCCGTCCCTTCTAACAAAATGTAAGTTTCTCGACCTTGTGCTTCATTCTACATACTGTAAGTTGTGTTATGTATCTTGAAATGAGGCACTGTTTGCTACTGATGGTGCATTGAATCGCCATAGTTCTCTCATGTGTGCAACACCATTTTTCCAGTCCGAATGCGAAGGGATGAATTAAATTGTTCCTAAAGTCATATGGGTCGTATCGCCTGGCTAAGCCGAGCTCGACTCCTGCTCATGAGTCGGAGTGCTCGGCTGACGCCACTTACAGTAGCTGCGGAGAAGAGCTGTCGCTCACTTTGTGACATTGATTCTATGCTAAAACATAATGCCTCACAATGTGGGGTACTTGTTCGAGAGGCGGTTTTCTGGCGCACAGCAGGACATATTGACTGTCAGAACGATGGCTTTCTTGGCATAATTTTTGTTTAGACATGTTGAGTCCAAAACGTCGCCCTCGTGTGTGCACATGATACGCCTTCAAAGAAAGAACAGCGGTCACTGATTCTTATCACATAATGTACAAAACATTCAACTGCGCTCAAAAATTGAAGGTATCTAGTTTGACTAGTGAAGTCAAACGGTGCGGAAAATGCGTTTGGCACCTACTTAGTGAAGCGAACTAACAGTGCAAGCTGCTAGCGGTGGAACTTTAACCCACACCTCCAAGAGAAACAGACTTTTTGTCCTCATTGTGAGGTCATTTGAGAAAGGGACTGCACTCGATGATACAGTGAGAAGACGAGCTGTTACCTGTTCACGAGTTGAAACCAATGGCCAAAAAAGGGGTCCCGTTTTGCGTTTTCTTGACGGATTTTTCTGCTTTTTTCGCTGCTGGCGTACCATTGAACACCACCACGTCACTAAATCCTTCTTGAATTTATCGTAACCGCTACCTTTGAAGGGTCACTCTGTCCGATATGAAATCGACGCACAATAGCGCAAAACTCCCATGTTGCGGAAATAACCCAAGAAGAAATTGAATGGATAAGGAGTTGTAGTTCTGCTCCGCGTGCCAGTTAGAGCAGACTTCCGGTGACTTTCGGTTACTATTCATTTCGGTCAGCACAACACACCCTGGGCAAGAATAGATCCAAGAACTTCGACGACGTTGAGTTTGGTGTGCAAACTCGTTGATTCGCCAAAGCATCTCAGTTGCTATTTGATATCAGCACTCCAGATAGATTGTTGTGGAGTGCAGAAAATTTGCTGCTGCAAACGTTAAATTCAGAAATGCCGCGCTCTTTCGAAAATCGGCGCATAGGTGGCCGCGCGCGGCAGCGCGACGACCGGACGATTCTGTCGACCGCTTCCTGCTACGAACGATCCGATTGAAGAGATAATGGAATGAGGAGAGGCGAGTCGCTCAAATGAGGTATTGATGATAGTATCCATGGAATGACATGTTACCAATCCAATTGAATTCGTAGTTTCATTGGACTCACCGCAGAGAGACGAGTTCATTTTCATATGAAGATTCATTTATTTCACCCGCTCTTGAGGTGATAACCACGGTGCCATGCTTTGCAACGCTGAAAATCTGTCGCAAAGCGATGAATTCTCAGAAATTAGGAGCGTTATCTCTTGTTACTGCCTGTTATGCACCAAGCTTGAACAGTATTTGATTCTTCTCATGCAGCACACACATCCTGCTTACATCGCGTCCGATTTTTTACCGCATGGTCATTCATGCCGAAGCCT